GATGGGAGGCACTCAGCTACAGAGGGTGAGCGCTGCATCATCAAGGCGAATGTGTGGGAGTTGCTAGTTCACAGCCGCCAAGGCTTTACCTGCATCCCTCCAGCACTAAGCAGTAATAGAGCGCATTCAAAAGAATCGCCGCGCACTGCACAAGGATATAAACGGTGTCTAGTTGTCTCACCCCTGCGGTGCGAATGTGTCGGCCACCGTGGTGCTGATTGCACTTCCTTGTCCTGGTGAAACAATGGCGTCAACCCAGGAAGCGGAGGTGAGCGCTAAACTCGTTACATGTGCGTATACAAGCTGCTGCACCACAAGCCGAGTGCGCCGGCCCCCGAGGCCTTCGCCGCATTCCTCAAACCCTGTGCAGCAACGGCGTATAGTCAAACCGGGTGGTGCACAGCACCAGGGGGAAACGCATGTCAGTGGCATCGGCCACAGGAGCCTCCTAGTGCGCTTCATCATCTTTGTGCGTGGATGGCCGGACCAGGAAGATAGGGTAAGCTGCGCACAAGGGGGGTGAGTGTATTAGCGTGGCAGCTTAGGGGCGTACGTACGTCGGCCACGAACGTCTGACCTGCGTGCCGTCAACTGTGTACAAGGATAGGTGGACAAAGAACTACGCGCTACCCAAGCACGAAGACCTGGAGATTGCCGGAACCCAACTATATGGCTGGATCTCCGGCCGAGGCGTAAGCTAAGCTTTCTGTGATTTTGCAGTGTTGCGATAAGTCGCGTTCACGCTGTCAAAGTGAAGTCGGGAGGGACGGGACGGGACGCTATGGGGCTGTAAACGCCGGGTGTTGACGGGCCTGCCGGAAGGGTAGCTGAAAAGGCGTATATTCCGAAGACAGAGGCCGGCATCCCCTGATGAAATGTTACATATGTGCGTAAAACGTCTGTGGCTACCGTGTCAGAACTGTCGCGCGGCTTGGCTTGTCGTTACTTGCACCGCACGGAAAACAGGCCTGTTCATTGTGCTCATCTTTCGCTCACCCGCCGGCTGCTGTAGGATGGACGGCCTAAAGGCTTGGCTGTCTTCCACCGCTGCGCAGGCAATGTGCGACATGTAGCGCATCACGTGCGCGGGACCCTCTGAGTAGGTAACGACACATACCATAGTGTTGCGTTTCGAGCCTTCCGTTTTTTCCGTAGACATCGGCATATGCTGCGGGTACGAGTGTTCCAATCTTGCGCACGCTTTCTCAAAGATCTACGTAGGCGTGTAGTGTGACGGTATATACTAGACTCACCGTCACATAATTATCGCTCTTTTTACGTGTATACCGGTATACGCACCCACGGACCGAAGACGAATACATTCAGATGTACGCATATTCATGTTTTCTTATTCGGATACAAGGGAGAGCCCATCTCTGCTTGTCTCTGCCCCATTGTCTTATAGCACACAGACGAGGGCAATGTACAGCGTCAAAATCTAAGTGTACCAGTATACGGGCGGGCTGGCGCACCAGCAGGCGGTCGCCTCTCCCTCCCGCTCCGAGTGTCCCTTGCTGCCGAATACCCAGACACACCAAGCACAGCTAAGTCGCACTTTGAGCGCATGAGTCTTCCGGCCGAAGAATGCCTACGTCTTGTAACCATGCCGCTTCCTTCGAATCAAGATATCTGCGTCTGGCTCCAAGGTTGTATCCGCAGGAAGTATTCGCTGAGCAGCTTTAATACAAATGTAAGGATAGGCGCGTATACGTATTTATATATATATATATATATATTCCTCAGCGACGTCATGTCTGTCGCCGAAGGTTGTACGTGTATGCGGTTCGCTCCAACGACGTACGCATGCGCATCCAGAGAGGCACGCTTGTACGAGTGCGCCAGTGCAGAGATATGAGCGTAGCACATAAATACGACATATTTGCGCGCACACGTGGCAGACGAACAACTGTCCAGGTACGAAAGCTTTTGGGGGCAATCGGGCCTCGCTATGTACGCCAGCGCCCAGTAATACCTCAAGGTTATTGCTCAGGAACAGCGATGAGTTTGTAACTTGCTTCCTGCGACGGCGAAAGAACCGGGTGCCCGAATGAAGCTAACACTGGTGAGGTCTCTCTAGGAAAAGCCGCCTAACATGTCGAGTTTTGAATCATCGAGATGTACGCGTCAGCGGCACAGTAAAAAGATTTGCAGACCGTCACGGCGCCGCCTCGTGCTGAAGGGGTTTATGCAGCTCGAGCGCGAGCAAACGCCGCGTCTTCCACAATGCACTCCGATTCTGTAAGAGGATCCTCATCTGAAACATCAGGACTACACGACGCCGTCGACGCCGTCTGCTGGGATAGTGACCGTACCCACAGGCGCCGGATTTTCCACAATGCACTTCGATACTGTCAGAGAGACCTCCTTAGAAACATCACCAGCATGTGACGCCGTCGGCCGTCTCATGCGATAGTGATTATACCCACAGGCAGAGACGTCCGTCGCCCTCCATTCGACGTGCCTCTGCGTGTAGCGCCGCGAAGCCGGAGCCATCTAACCCTCTTTCTTACTGGGAAAATAGTGCCCGCCTCTTATGAGGAACAGATGGATCAACAACACCTTTGAAGGGGTCCTGCACTACCCGTGTGTGCCTTCCTCTCTTAAAGCTGGTCGAAAGATGTCGCCTGCTTGCTTGAGACTTGTTCTACAAGGAATGATGCAGGCACTGTCGCGATCACGCAGCTCTGTGAACGTTTATGCCCTAGGGTCAGACGAAGGGCGCAAGGCAGCGCCCGACCTGGCGAGCAACGTAGTCTCTTTATACATTCCGTACGACCGAACACATGTGCTACACAAGGTCGTCGATTCCGTATGGGCATCTGCATTATAGGCAGACCAAATAACCTCGCCACATTGTAGAGCCGGCGATGTACAGACGCACGCTGTTTTAGACGCGACACGCTGGCATTCACCACGCCTGCACAGGGAACGGTCGCATCCGCGGCGGGGTGACGGTGTACGGGCCGAAACGAACATACGTGCGGCATCCCTGGCTCCTCGCGTATATGAATCAGGATGATTGCACAAAGGATGCACGAAAAGTCTTACGCCCAGGCAGTTTCCTCCTCTTCCACCAGCGCTGCTGCGCAAGCACTGTCAGCTAAGTGCAGGTGATCTGGCCCCTTCTCTGTTTGCCCCCAACCTCAGGGCCGCTTTTATGCAGACGTCCGGCCACTCTGCTGTATGTGCAACCCTATTCGAAAAGCGCTGCATGGCACATGTACGCACGCGGGAGGCCACGGGCGATGTACAGCTTCTCTGGGGCCACCGCTGCACGGCAATGCTGTCTAACGTCGTTGTTCACCTCCGCCCGTGGAGGCTTTCGCTTGTAGCAGTCCATCCGCCGTCTGTGCTACCGTCTGCGAGCTAGGCGGCTACACATGGTAAGTCTTCAGGTATATATTTGGTAAACAGATTTTCGCAGGGACATGTGAAGGAGGCAGTATTTATGCATACGTGCAAGCAAGGCTGCGGAAGGCAAGGAGGCGGGTAAGTCGGTCTTTCACTTCGCGTATGTCCTCACGGACGGCGCTCTTCTGACAAACGCGGTCTTCCTCTTAGCTTGCCCGCTGCCCCCCAGTCATTTTACTATATAGAAGACATAGTCGGCGGTCTTCGGTGAGCGCCAGCAGGTGCGCGTGCGGAGGCCTGACCCGTGGTAGTCCTGGTTTACTCTTCGCCGTCACCTCTTGCATTACAACCGCTCTTGTTTCCAGTTGGCGTTTTAGAACACCTACAAACAGAACAAAATTCTATCTCAAGGCCACCTACTTGGTCCTCGCTGTGTAGTCAGTCGATAGCAGTCTCTCCGAATTCGGCAGGGGAGACCCTCCACCAGCCCTTCTCCCTGCTGGCGGAGACCGCCCGTCATAGCTGCGAACCAACAAGCAGAGAGCTTCACCATAATAATCTGAGACCCAGTGTACAAGCAGGGAGGGCTGCTGGCGGGAATGGGAGACGTCCAAAAGTGTGCCTGAGTAGATGTATGTTGGCTTTGACGCAACAGGTAGACGGTATATAGCGTCGAGTGCAACAGGTGCAGGGCTGTACTAGCGCTCCTTCCTTCGCCAGCCGGAGCTCTCCGGCCTACGCCCGTCGCACGCTTACCGGAATTGATGGCCGTACTGAGAAGCACGTAGTGCGGCACGTTAGGCCAGTCCCAGCCTACAGTCCGGGGTGCAGACGCACACCTTAGAGGTGCGTTGCTGCAGCCCTGTTCACCAAACAAAGAACATTTGCAGGCTCTAGATGGGGCAGAGCTTTCGCTTTAGTCCGCGCCGCGTGTGCCTGCGAACACCAGTAAAGCCCTACGAGGCGTGCCTTTTCACGTAAGTGCCCGCGAGCATTGTAATCGTCATCTTTCGCGTCCTGTGCAAATCTGTCTAGCCGTACACCCCGTAAGGTGACCCTCCGGGGTCTTCAGACTTGCAGCGGTACTCCTGTGACGCAAACCGCCTCAGCAGGACCTGTCCGTCCACTCTAGTCCTCAGGTTGCAGTACCCTTCTGTGGCTCCCGCGAATGAGCGAGCGCAGCTGTGCTTCCTTGCCGATGCGGCCTGTCGTGAGCTTGCTGTGTCCCCTTTTGCGGGGTTGTCCTCGCCGAATTCTCACTCTCAGGGGTGCTGCCGCCGGTACCCTCCGCGCTAGTGCCAGCATGAGGGTTTTAACGGTGGAAGGGAGCGGCTCCGCCCGGATGACGGCAAGCGCAGATGAGCTTCAACGGCTTAGCAAGCCGCCCTCTGTCTTATCAAGTGTCGCAGCCTTATTCAGAGAACCTTGCGGAAGCTCCTAGCAGGTCTGCTTCATAATTACGGCGCAGGCTCTCAGGCAGCGCTCGCCCCCTGCCGGAGATAGGCTTCTTCCGCGGTACACAACAGCGGGCTTTAAAAGGGACTTGTCGTGCTCAGCGTTAGCGATGAGCGGGTACTGTTATAACATACTGAGCAGCAGGTAGATTCTACACAGCCGTCCACCTGGTTCCGCTTTACGGCTGATAGCAACTGCAGCAGCCGATTCTGCCTGCAGGTTTAGGGGAGCATTTGTCAGAAACACGAGCAACTTCAAACGCCCAAACCTGGCGGTGTCTCATACAAGTCAGGATCCATCATTTCCTCGCTGAGCGCGGTAGCGGTTGAACCGCACGCGCTCAGGAAACGCGGTTCGGCAGCAGGCACCTGTGCCGAGGCGTGGGTCCGAAAGCCAAGAGAACAGAGAAGGCCGAGTAATCTTGTGCTTCAGTATCTGCGAGCACGTACTGGCCAGGGAATAACACGCAGGGATGGCATATACGGAAGATCAAGCTACTGAATACGAATCTAAGCTAGCATGCAATCCAGATGTTCAGGCTTACCCTGCACGACCACCAGAACGTACCTGGTATAACGCTTGAGGGACGCATGCGAGCGTTCGTATCCCGAGATTTTGCAAGCATGTAGCAGGTACAGCGCGCAGCGCAGGCCCACAGGGCGTCATTCTCCATCCTCTTGAAACAGTGCCAAGGGGCAAGCATTGGGCGTTCCAAGCCAGACGCCAAACAAGTACAAAACGTCTGCCGGGTATACCCGTATAATAGATTTGCTAAGTGTATAAAAGACGTCAGACGCCCCAACCCAGCAGGAACATTGGAGTCGGCAAACCGTACGAAGAGGACAAAAGATGCGCTGCACTTCCTTCGCGCGTGGGGCAACAACAACGGTGCACTAGCACTGGATGGAAGAGAGGGTGATAAGGAAAGGAATGTATTTACCTTCTTTTCCTCGACCCAGCGGTAAGTTCTTTCACGAGAGGAGACATCGCTTCCCGCCCTGGGGTGTGCGGCTCTTTCAATATGTAATTGGTGGCTACACGTGCGATGGGTCGAGGCGGCCGATGTATGCAGCTTGGCTCTAAGGGGGCCTACCGGTCTCTCGCTGTTGTCAGTCCTGGTCTCCCCGCAGATGCTGACGCTTTGCAGCATATGCAGCGTGTACTGTCCACTGACGTCGCCCCCGGAGCAGTCCTTCGCTGGCTCTTCACCGTTCTGCTGTCTGCTGCGGCTGACGCTCCTACCGTCGCCTGTGCTGCAAACGGCGTCTCTTGGGCCGTTCTGCAGGAATTCCAAGCTGTGCCCGCCATCGCAAGATTAAGGCGCCCCGGCGAGTCTTCTTCAAAGCGGGCTGCAGCAGCCAATCCCATCTCAAGGGCACCGCTCCGGAGCTGTTGCGTCCTCCTAGCCCCCTGATCCCTCTCAGCGTGTGTGCTGTTTGTCCTGATACTCCGGCTTCTACGCTTACACGCGAACCTGGATAAGGGCACAGCCCGGGCGAAAGCGAAACAGAAGCTTTGTAGCGCTTCTGCGAGCCACGGTGCGGTTCCTTCCCATTTGCTGAGCATCATGACAGCTGCCGTCATGCTCCGGAGTTCTACATTGTCTCGCTTGCTACGTCCTGCAGAAGCCGGCTCCAGACGGAGGCATCCAGGTTATGCTCCTATACTGCCTCTGTGTGGGCTTCTCCCTTGCTGCTAGAACGGGCCCTGCAGGCCGTCCTGGTGATCTGTTTACCTGTGGTCCTGCTTCAAGCGAAGCTCTTCTCAGACGCAGTTCTAGTCACCGGTTTTCTGCTGCGCGGACGTACCGCCGGCAGCAGTCGCCGTAGAACATCCTCCTCTCTCCGAACGTCCGTCGGTGCCACGCTATGGCGCCTGGGTGCTGCGCGAAGATGTTCCTGCACCTGAGTTTTTCATAGCGGAAAAGCGGCCCGCAGCGGCAGGCCCTCTTTTCATGGCCGTTGCCTGTGTACCCCGGAGGCGTCGACACCAACCTCAACGCGAAGCGTATAGCCCGCGACGGCAGCAGGCGGGCAAGTGTCTGAGCATCGCGGCTGCTGTCAAAGCTGCGAAGCGGCAGGCTTTCGTTGCCGTCCGTGAAAAGGACGGAAGCGACAACATCCTTGGCTCGTTTTTGCCGGTAGACACCTTCATTGTCTTGTTGGTCTCTGCTACGCTCCTCAATCGAGCGCCCCTACCGCCGCCGGCGAACTCTGAGCAAAGAGAATTCAGTGGTGCCAGGTATACGCGCACCCCATGGTAAAAAGGAGGAACGGCGAGAACGGAGCGCAGCAGGCCCCTAATGTCGTTGTGGCTACTTTAAAGTCTTAGAACAGCCAGAAAATCGCAATGCCAGCAGCTGAATCCACCTCCAGCGCCGTACGTAGTACGATCTGTAACTCGCCGGAAACTGCGCATCATAACAACAACGCTCACATAGTCACCAGCTTCACAAGCTTTGTCACGCAACTACCGGCGCACAGTCAGAGCCAGGCTCAACCATATCCCCGCTGCCGTAGTCAGCAGGCCTGCAGCACACCTCTTACCGAACGATAACCGTAGGACATCTCGCACTGTTTTTCATCCTGTCTAAAGCAGAAACGCCTCTCTCTGCAGTCGCTGTCGATCTCGTGGAATCTACGTGTTCCTCACTAACGTGTCAGCACTGCGCCTCGTGCTGTGCGTAAATTACGATACTACTGAAGCAGCCTGTGACGCGTTCTGAAGCCCGTCACCGGAAACAGGCGCGCCTGTAGGTGGCGTGCAGCATTCCTGCGCCCGTGGTGCGCCAAACTCAACCACGTGCTTCTGTGCATCCCTCCGCTGTATCCGGACTCTTCCGCTCGACTCGCGGCAACGCGTGTGCGGGACGGGAAGTTTTGCGAGCCTTTACACTAAGAGGACGGGAAGTCGTAACACGGTTTCCCTAGGTCAGCCTACGAGCGGATCATTTACATGTTTTCTTTCCTCGCTCACAACAACAAAGTGACGAAAGCGGAACTTAAAGCGCCATACGCACCTGCATGCGCACGCGGACATTTCTTAGTGTAGAGCGGCACAGCGGTACCTTTACCGGCGCAGAAACTGAAGAGCAGGTACGCCAACGTACGGGTATTTATGAAGGTATGTGTGTTCATGTCTGCATGGGTGTGTGTATATGAGTGCGTGTCTACACATGTGTGAAAACGCGTGTGTATGTATTGCTGTATGTACCTATGCATACGCAAAACACTTTACGTAATATGCAGTCGAATGTGTCCTACATATGAAAACGCTTGACAGCCGCGGCGGCCGCGTCTAGACACTGCTTTGAGCAGCGTCTCAGCCCATGACGTGGTCGACAGCTACTGAAGTAAATACGCATGAAAGATTGACTAATTGGTACAGCTGTTGTACATACCTTCATAGACGTTGAGACTGCGTACGTAAGCAAGCGCGTAGTCGTAGAAGCCCTATACTCTCCTTGCGCACGAGCAGTGTCTCGAACCACGTTGTAAAGGTGGATGATGACCGCGGGTTATGAGCACCGCAGGTGCAGCAGCTGCTCCTGCTTGAGGCCTGACACAGGGCAGCGGGACTTACGTTCCCACACGTAGCGAGTGAACAGTGCCGGAGGGCACGCCCAAAGCCGAGCCACTCGGAAACTGCGGGCCTACCAAATGTTGTGGCCAGATGCTTGCGCGGGAGCTCCACGCCAGCAGTAATGCGCTCACGGCAGCTCTTGCGGGCTATTTGTTGGCCGTCAGGAGGCCACAGATACCACCGTCCATGTTCCTGTGCGCAGCATTATCACCTACGCCCGCACGGAAGTGGGACCGTTTAGGTCGTCCCCCCCTCGACCGCTTGATTCCATTACTGCATAAATGTATACGCCGTGAGATAGGTGCGTACAAACGGGTGGGCCTGAATTTCTGAGAGTGAAGGTTCGTGATGAGGGTTGCAGGTAACTTGCATGCAGCAAGGTATACGCATGCGTTTCTGCGGTTAGGGTAGAGGCGACGGCCACCCGCAGCTGCACGAGGCTCTCTGGGATCTAAGTAGTGACACCTGTTCGTTCGGCTCGCACTGACAGCACAGTACTCACCGGTGCATCCGCCGTCGATGAAAAAAAAAACAGCCTCCGCCGTCACGGACACGTAATGTTCAGCTCTCGTGTATCAGTTCGCCACACAGTATCTGCCCGCAGCTTGACACATTTCTGCCTACTATGCACGCGCACATTGTCTACGTATAGCCTGCAACAGCTCATATTTGCTCATGGTGTACAACGTAGAGGCCCAGCAATAACTAGCAGACATCCTTCGTATGTACGCGTCGTGCAGAGACAGCGACGTGCAATTGTACCCAGCTGCGACCTGTCATACGTGGATGTGTCCATGTGCATGACACTGCCGCGATGCATGTACCATTTATGTGCAGGGGCACGGCAGCTACTGGCGCACCTAGCTGTGCACACTGATGCCGCCTCTTCCCTATACACTGTCTTACGCTGGCGAAGGGGTGCCGGTGTGCGTACGTAGGTCTGCATGTTTCTCTTCCTCTGTATACCTCCTCATCTCTAGAAGTCCGCTGCTTATAAAGTGGAGGCGCGCGGTAACCCTGCACGCAAATTGTCCGGCAGTACCTGTGTAAATGCGTGTACTCAAGAGAGTCCTCGGACTTTCTCGAGGGTGCATGCACACGAGCGCACAAAGCGTTCACGCCACAAATGTGCGAGGTTCGACCTGCCTGATTGCACACACGGCAGGAAGTCGCGACGCTCGCGGGATTCCTGCTGGTAGGCTGCCACCAAAATGCCGTCGCGCTGCTCTAACTCTGCTACCCGTATGACCGCTTATAGAGCAGTAATCGACACGCTGCGCGGACAAAGCAGAGAAGCTGCGTAGCGCGCACGACGCTTGGCCGACGGGGTACTGCCGGCGAAGTAACGGTGCGGGATGTTCGAAGGCTTTCCGTAATTACCCAACCCTCTTTCTCGAGCTCCCGTGCAACGCGGGGGCAACTTACGTCACGGTGGCGTCCTCAGGCTGTCTTGATCACAGTGGCCCTCCTCATGCTTTGCAGTGCTACCGTGTCCGCCCCTGATCTCGCCACTGGTCGATTATGCCTCTACCCGACCAGAGAAACTCAGGGTTGCGAATTGACGTTGTCCCGAGACTACCTCAGACGACACACGGTTTTTCGTTGGTTAGGCAGACCGTCGTCCGCGCGTCGAACCACAAGTCAGGCTCTGCAGAAGCGTTGCCTCGAACGCTGTAGCCACCTCCACGTAGTTCTGCGTACTGCACGCACCCGTGGGTACGTCATCGTGACGTACTCGGGCACTACACACGAAGGTGTGTGCCTCATCCTCGCATGCCGCCGCTTCGTACTTGTCTCACCTACAGTCCAAGCCAGCCCGCGTCGCGCCCCAGCCGCGCCCACGGCTGGTTCACCCAGTCACAGTACTTGTGTTGGACCACCACCGGAGCCTGGCGCGCATTCCTCCCTGCCGGTGCCATTTTCCACGGAAGGCTTGTATACATCGTAGGGACGACGCTGCATCTTCTCACTCCTACGCTCACACCGCGACGTGGCGCCCGAAGCAGCTGTAGGCACTGTGCGACGAGTTTACGTGAAACATAAAGCTTCCCACGGACAGCAGTGGGGGAAGGTTCTCGTCTGCAGTGCGGCGAAAATCTGTAGCGGGCCCGCGGTCGGCCGAAGCGTACAGCCGACGCTCCTTTGCTCCCGCTGCTACAAGATTATCCGCCCGCAAGCATTGAGCTACAGTCTCCGTGCCGTGACTGCGCCAAGTGTCTGCAGCTTTGGTACGCTGCCGACAGTCACCGGGCACGTGACGCCTGTTCCGCGTGTTCGGGTAAGCAATCTTGGCATCCGAGAGGTCTGCTGTGCAGCGCGCCGTGCTATGCGAACGAGGAAAAGTGTGCTGGCTTACATATAAGACTGCAGGGAAGCGGTCGCTCCGCGGTCAGGGATCCGCAAATTCGACTCTCCCTAGAGGTACGAACGCATCCCCCGGCCCTTGTGGGGGACCGGTAAGCCCCGAGATCTCCACGGTTGTAGCCTCGTAACTTGCGGTGACACAGGCATGCACAGATAGTGACGGCCTAGCAAGAAGCCACCAGGGATCCTGGTCCTCTCTTGCGCTACAATTCTTGCAGAACAAGTGTGGGCCTGCTAGAAGGAGCAAGAACTCAGTCGCAGCAAGCGCGTTTTAACGTTTCCTTCTAAACTACCTGTTGCACTTGGCTGGGGGGCAAACATGTACTGCTACTGGGATCAGCGCAAGCGTGTCACGTCGCAACTTGCAGATGCTACGAACACAGCGGGGAGGGTGCCGTCTCGTCCGACGGTCCCATTCTTCAGCTGTTATTAGCTTTAAACCAGAGAAGAGCAGCAAAAGCAGAGGGCACAAGCTAAACGAGCTGGAGGCGTGGACGGCTTTCAGAGATTGAGAGGTGCTCCCAATTGCCCGACCCTGGGTATGCTCTGGGGCGCCAGTCTTGTTGCAAAATGCTCAACCGTCCTGCGGTGCTCAACCGTCCTGCGGTTTCCGTCGTGCGCAGAGAAGTCGCCTAGCGACTCATATTGTATGAGCGCAATCTCAAGATTTGTTGCTGGACAGACCACCGTAGTGCGTCCGTGGAGACACTTTCCTCATGCAGCGTAGAAGGCTTCTTGGAAGGCCTCTCTAGTAAAATTCTCTGCGGGCGGGGTCGTGTCTGCGACGCAATCAGTGCGAAGACCGAGGTTGGCGCGGTCGTGAACACAGGCCTTGGACAATGTGGGTGGCGACACGCGGAGGCCCCCGGGGCATTTTCGCAATGGATGAGCATTGGCTGAACAGAAGCTCAAGATCAGGCGTGCGGCGTCTGGGACCCAAGGAACACGAAGGGACGCAGCCATTGGGGTCGCCTTCTGCCGTTGCTCCAAAACAGGCTGAAGACTTTGCCAATGGTAACTATCCGCATATCAGTTTCTTCGGCGCGGGAGACATCGGGTTCTTGCCCGATGGCAGCGTACGTAGTACCATCTTACAAGAGTTTTCACCGGCGAACAGCTGGAGCCGAAGAGAGCGCTACCCGTCGTGTTGCCGAATCGTACCCGGCGTGCACGGTTTCCTCTCTCTGATCACCGATCTTTTTTGGCTGCCGTGCACCCGTGCTCCGCGGTGAGGGCTCCTTGCTGCGCCTACATCCCTCTAGTGCGCAGCGAATGCAACAGTATTTGCTTTGCATCAAGAGGGACGTCGCCGACTAGCGCGCGTCGGTCGCATGTCTGCCTGCTACCACTTTTCGTGCCAGCCAGCCGTGTCCGGATTGGTCTAGTCAGAAATCTACACTGAGGCTAACTGCCGCATTGTCGTTTTCTAGCTTTTCTGGTGGACAGTGATCGATGGCCCAAGCGGGGTGGCGTATGCTATCTACGTGCATCGACAACCTAGCGCCGAACATTCTTTTCAGCACACGTACATGCGCCCTCTTCTACGAATCCTGCGCGATAGAGGGCCAAGGAGGCAATCTGCTGGAGGAAAGCTTTCTTCTTGAGCTGTCTACAAGGGTTTTCCGCCGGCGGACCCTGCACGGATACTGCTTCTTCGTGTGTCCCTTTCGATGCATTGCTGAGGCAGCCAAATACTGATGGAACTGGTACACTACGCAGGCTCTGTGCGTAGAAAAGCGGCCGTACATTGTGCGGTATCATTCAGCACGCACATTTTAATCGGCAGCCACCTGCATTCGACATGCAGCATCCACGTGTACCCCGGTGTGTAGCCTTATGGACAACGCGGGCCGAATGGGCCGGCTGGAAGAGGCGGAATTCGAACAGTATGCTAGGTCACTTAGAAGCCCGGCGGACCTTCACGACATAGTTTCGGACCTGCCCTGGAAACGGTTGACTCTGCGAAGAGCTGCGGCGTCCGCAGAAGCCGTGGCTACACTGATCTAGGAGCACCTCCATAAAATGTGACCGGGCTAGTTAAGCATATTGCACGCACTGATAGTATGGGTAGGCATCTATTTACGACCCCCGATGGCTGGGCTGAAGCTAAGAACACTTCATGGAATTGTGTCAGGATGGACTGATCTGACGTGTCGCAAACGACACGCTTTTAAGTGTGAACTTTGATTTGCGATGGTCCATACAGGAATCTGCACACCAGAATACCGCCTGCCAGGGCGGCGTCACCGTGTGCGCCTCCCGTCGGGAGGCCAAGTCGTGAGTAGACTTGGCCTACTCGCTAGCAGCAGCTAACGCTCCCATTCTGTTCATTCCGGTCGTGTAATGTTCGCACGCGCGCCCAAGCTACTTTGACGGAACTACCGGCACATACGTGCACTACACACAGCCCGTCCACTGTCCTGCACTCTTCAACATAACTGGAAGTCGTTATCGTGGACGCATGAAGTTGTACTCAGGGCCGGCCCACCGCACTCTCAATCCATACGTAGCCGGGTGTCTTGTCGAGGAGAATTTTCATTCGAAGGGCGGAGCGGCGGTTCCCGTGCGCTGGCAGAGGAATAGGCAGAGGGCGTACGGTGCCGAGGCTACAGGAAGTAAATATTTGGTACGCCAGCCTTACACGGGAGGCTTCCCGCGCTGAAGAGCGTTCTTCCTTCCTTGCCGCGTGGCGCGTAGCAAAAGATTAGTTGCAGAAGAGTTCACAGTGAGCCGACAGCCGCATCCTACACAACAGGTGAGTCTGCTGCTCTAAGCAATGATTCTTCCAGGACGTTCTCTCATCTGCGGAAAAACGAACACACGTGACCCAATCGCGGCAGCCTTAATCCGGATCTATATGCGGTGCTATGCACGCGCTGGCGAATTACAGGCTTCTAGTAGAGCCCGCTGCTGGTCCGGTTGGCGAGATCTTTTGTCCATTGTTGCTGGTGCCACCTCATCTCCTGAGAGACATGTTTTCCTGCAGAACGTCGACGTAAACACTTCTCGGCCTTTGGAGCAGCCACGCTAGCGGCATCCCGGTCTGGAGACTGCATGCAGCTTGTGGGCCGGCTGCGCCTGTCTCCCTGCGTTGCGGAGCTCTGACTGCATGCAAGCGCATGCTTCTCATTTGGAAGTAAGCCCCATGATTCAAAACCACTTCTGTCCCACCGCGAAGCGCTAGATTTCCCTCATTTCGTTCATAGAGGTCTGCACACGGGCCAGTTGTTTCGTTTTATTGCATCTTTGAGCGTACCTTGTCGCGCGTCACTGACTTTCCTGTTTGGTAGCGACTAATACGCCATCTTAGCATCGTTCACACACCTCTTTCCCGAGCCACTGTAAACACACTTTACGTGCGCCTCCCCCGGCTGTTGCTCTGAATAATGTAGGCTGTGAATGTCACGTTCTGCCTAAGTGTAGTGGTTGGATGCCGCCGCCCACGGGCACAAAGACGGAGCCGCTCAAGGCGTTTGTACGGAGACGGCACAAGACGTTTCGTACCGGTGTCTGCTATAATGCTTTAGACGACTACTATGAATTTGCAGCGTCCACGGGATTTCCGCCGCTGTCATATTCGTGCAGGAGTGACGCCAATGTCTGAGACGGTGGCCCAGCTTCCTCGGTAGCACCTCACACCCCATGACGAGTTTACCCACAAACGGCATTCCCTTCTCGAAGAGCTCCCCTCTTCACTTGTGTAGCAGCGCGGGTCAGACGCAGATACACACTTCCGGCGCACGACGTAGACCGGGGCTGTTGCTCTTGTACTCCTTTTCCTTCACCTGTTTCCGACTTCTGTTATCTGTTCAAGCCACCGTGTCTCTTGACTGTCCACTGCCCGGCTGCAACGAGCCCGGTGTATGTACCTGCTTCCTGCCTTACATTGTACAAGCTGTCCACCTACGCAAAGGCTGAAGCGTCTGCTGACAAGCCGGTGGTGGGGCCTGTGATCTCACAGTATCGCTGGGAAAGGATTCAGTCCCTCTGGTAAACACGCCTGCGGAAGCGACCAGATCGCATCGTATTCTCGGCCGCCAACCTGTAGCCCCCCCCTCGTCGGAACTGCCCTAGATGCAGAGGGTGTGCGTACCCTAAAGAGTTACGCACGTGCTTCTGAACGCGTACCCCAGCACTACAACGCTGCACAATGGAAGGCACAGGGCGCAAATCCAAAGTGGCATAGTATACAAGAAGGGGGGCTGCGGTTCTTCCTTTACGCCCACTCTTGGTAGTTCCCCCCTTTCAGATAGGTTCACCATCAACACTGCAACAGGAGACGTTTTACTGCGGGCTACCGTCGACAGAGACAGGATACCTTCAATGGGGCGGGCGGCCGACCTTCACTCCTGTGAAAGCGTCGTCTTAGTAGTTCGACTATTGCATCTAGAGACAGGCGGGTTTCCACGGGCTACCCAGGCTAAGGCGTAAAACCCCACCTGTCTTTCCAGGCTTAGGGTCGCCTTAGGCACGTGCCAACGTAACAAATTCACGCACTTACATCTATACACACAGTCGAAGAGTAGACCGACTGGCCTTCAACAGAAAGCGCCTCGAGGCCAGAGCCGCGTCTCCGCCGGTCTCGGACACAATCGTTCGTTTTGCCACGGCTTCTGTGTGATACGCCGCCGCTACAGGCTCGATTTGCGGCGGACGCCCCCTACACTCTGCATGACCTTGGATATCACCGCCATCCTGCGGCCTTGAGTTTTCTACCGCGGGCTACCTCGCCTGCAGCTGGCGCTGCTGAACCGCAGCAGAGTCGCGTCTTTCACAGGCCTGCTGGCGCGCTGAAAGGGCCCAGTGGTACGAGGGTGGGCGCAGAGCTCAGGAGAACAAACCTTGCACGGCGAAGACCTCCTCGGGCGACAGCTGCAGAACGCGGGGAAGCTGAGGTGTAAGAATCCCTACATGAATCCACCGTCCTTCCGATATGCGGGCAATAGCGACCGTTCTCGAGTCCAGTCATAAGATCTGAGCTAGAAAATGCCATGTCGAACGACCTAGGTGAACAGGTGATTTAGTCGACGTGAACATGCACGGAAGGATGTAGGGACGTGTCGGGCGTCCTCACAGTGTTCCGCACTTGGTGTACGTGTCAGTGAGTGCATCTGATTTTTAGGTATCACCCTGCGTCCCCCCTACTTTGCAAAGTAGTCTCGATTGAGCAAACAAATAAACACGTCAATGATCCGGGCCTATCGCCGGCACCGGAGATATACAGCATTGTCTTGGACCATCAGGGGAAGCTGTGCTTCCGGGAGGGTCAGTCTGTGGGGATCATACCGCAGCCGCATGCGACTCCGGCCGCTGGAGAAATGCCTCCTCTGAAGAGTGAGGGCAGCAAATATGATAGCAGTCAGAAGTGGCGGCCAAGCACCAGACGTTGTGTGCGCCCGCGGCTATACAGCATCGCCTCGGGGCGCCACGGGGACGACGGCTTCAGGCACTACCTTCACCCCTTGTAAGCTGATGCACCGCCGACGCGACATTGTCTACGCCATTAATGTGTGCGGGGCTGCTAACCTAGAACTACACGAGGCCTTCAACAATCTGCAGTCATTTCGGTCTCAAACGATGCGCCCACGCCCCCGGTCGTTAGCCTCACGCAATGTAGTTGCGCCCACAGCGTCACCCGGGGCGTAGGGCTGCACTTTACGGACAGATCGAGCCAGGCTCACGTGCGCTTGGGTCTCATTTTTCACCCTTGTTTGCGTGTAGTGCGTCAAGAAGCATCTGTACCGAAACCCTAATACAGGGGTACGCGAACCGGCGAAGGACGGACTCTGCTCCACCTACATCTGCAATGTCAGAGCGGGTGACACCGTAGCCGTAAGCGGTACGCCCCACCGACTGCGCGGCGCAGACATGTTCCCAATGGGAAACAGCACGTAGGCACTGATTCTTTTGTTGACGCTTCGTGGGAGCTTCTTCAACCCGCTTTTGGACCTTGGACGAGGGTCAAACCTGTTTACATGGTCTTGAGGGAGTTTTGGAAGTTGAGCATACTCCCAGTGATCCACTCCAAATTTTACTGGCGTCATGTTCCCGCGCGAAGGGGCTCAACGATAGATATGCGCAACCCATCACCCTTCTGCAGGTCCTGTAGGAAAGAACTTGCTGTTGCCTGCGGAAGGATCGTCTCCGCTAGTGATGCTTGGAACCGGAACAGGAGTTGCGCCATTCCGAAGCCATTTAGCGGACATCCGCGCCAGAGGGAATTTCCAGAACACCCACCGTAAGCGTGCGCCTCTCGCTAGGACTATAGGCTTTGTGCAGAATATCCTGGACGCACCTACGTCAGCAGCAGCGTACCAGCGCAGTCCAAGTCTTTCCAGCATGCATGATACAGGCCTGTCTTCTGCTTCCGTAAATTTGTATAGTCCTAAGCAGCAGCACTGAGCAGAAACCCCAGCACGCGTTGCATTCTCGCTGGCACCAGCTGGTGCCGTTTTGACGTGAGCAACCGGATGTTAGTATGGGGGCGCTCTGATAATGGCTACTGCAGCTCGCGAGATCATCCTGTTTCTTGGCTCTTGGAGTGAGGCGTCGCTCCCGTACATGGCGGAGTGGCGGGCGCTGAAGGCGAAGAACGGCGAATACGGCGTTGACATTCAACTTCGCCTGGTCGCGACCAGGAGAGGGCAAGAGGAGAACCTACGTACAGGTATCGTCTTTATGGGCTGTAGAAGTCTGCTTGCCGTAGAGGTGGCTCAAGACTCAGAAAATTCTACACATGGACAACGCTTAACGCACGTGGCTTCGACGGAGCATCCTGCTGAATAGAAGGCGGGGGCGCCACACGGGAGGCATATATTTGTGAGGCAGCAAAGCTACCGATACTATTAGTGGGAGAGAGGATATACGACTATGCCTTCCAGGACATACTCTGGACTGAAGGAGCAAAAGTGTGGGATGCGCTGGCGAACAAAAAAGGACATCTCTACGCGTGCGGCGTGAAAGAAATGCTTGTCGGCGTGGAGTCTGTCCTAAATCGTCTAGCAGATGAAAGACAGGTGGTGCACGGATCTTTCGTGCGTCAGCTTAAAATGGAGCGCCGTTGGCACGTGGAGGTCTATTGATGGCTCACTTGCAACAGAAGTTTGAAGCGCAAGCAGCTCAGTGGTGCAGTATGCGATAACAAGTTTGGAGTGAAGGGGTTCCGCCGGTGAACGTGATGCCAGTGTTCAGGAGACTTGGTCATGTCGTAGTTCGCACACAATTGGGTGCTGCTAAGGCTTGCGAATACCTTACAGAGCTTCGTTCCAGCCGGACGTACGCGCCACACCTGGAGCAGAGGACAAGAGTGAAGAGAGGCTGGGAGGAATTCGTCTGGTACGCGAGGCGCTGAAATAACAGGCCGTCAAACGTCCTCCATCCTGTAGTGGCTAGCGCTGCCGGGCGGAGCCCTGCTGCTGGACTGCAGCCTGGCGCCGCCTCACGCTAATGTACGAAAGCAGAATTTCGTATCTAGCACTGGTGTGGAGCGTAGGGTGGTGCTTTTGAGCGCATGTCCTGAGAGCCGTAATATTTGCTAGACGTCGCTTCAAAGCCTAAGCCCGTAGCGACAGCTTGGCAGCCCTCGGAAGCATGCGCCACAGCTGATATGCAGCCAGTATAACAGACGCGGCGAAATCGGCGACCACTCTTCAGACTTCTGCGTTTCTCCCTCTGATGCCGTGCGCTCTGGTACCCGTTATCTATGTTTATACGCTTCGCAGAGTGCCTGGTTTCGTTCGGCTCCCGTTTCGCCGGCTCTGAGCCGGCCTTTGGCCACATACGATTCGTTCTAACGGCGTCTCCTTCTCGTGCGGTAGGACATGGGCACGTATCAGTCACTGACCAGGCGAGCTGGTCTGTAGGTGACACCTAGCACCACCATTTCTTCCTGCCGACCCGCTGTTGTACGCGTGTGCCAAAGCGTGAAGAGCTTGGCAGGAAAGAGCGAAGCAGCGCGCTCTCGAAGAAAACCTCACCACGGCAGCATAAATGGCATTACTTTGCCATCGCAGAGCACGGATTATATGCAGCTAGCGGTTTTGAATTATCGGGAAAACACTCACGTGGTAGGAATCCAGCACCGTCCTCGGAGCTCAGAAGCTGCGGTGCACAGATCAGCTTCACGTAAAAACATTGTTTCCCCGTAGCTGTTTCACATTGTGCTCATAGCAAGGATGCGCCCACGTTAATGTACGGATAGTCGCGGTTCACTCTGGTGCGCACATCGAAGCAACAAGAGGACGCTCATCCAGATCCACATCTGGGTGAGAACAGGTTGCTGTCTCCCTCCTAGAGCAAGTCGGCCGTGACGCGATACTGCAGCGCTCCCCGTGTACTAGGAAACGAATTTGCCACATATCATAGGGAGCCGTCGGACGTGGAGGAGACGCCGAGACGCAGTCGTGTATACACGTATGCATGCCCTTATACGTATAATACACGTATGCACATATCTATATAATTACATACGTATATACATTTTATATTTTGGAAGAAGTATCTGTCTGCGTACTGGTGTAGTGCCGGGCGCCCCCGGCGGACGTACCATTGCCTCACGCGGCTGGCGGCGGGGGAGTACAGGCATTTTGCTTGCGACTTCGTTTTATTTCCCGACTGAACACCAGCCACCACACGCGTCGCCTTCCCTGAGTGTTACAGCGCTTCAAATTATCAGCTCCTGTCATCCGATGCGAGGATGGCCACCGTTTTCAGTGTAAGGCTCAACGCTCTTCGCGGTTCATCCTCCACAGAAGCTCGAATTATCCCGCACCAGGTACACCGCCATCGTGTACAACGGCCGCGAGTACTCCCACGGCTACTGTACGACTAGCAGCGCGACTACTACGCTGCTATTACTATTGGCACTAATGCTACTACTACTACTTCTGCTACCGTTCTTAGTCCTCCAACTACGAGCACTCTTGTACGGCAACTGGCAGCACCACTGCCACTACTAGTACTACGATTACTGGTACTGCTTCCTGTAGTATTACTAGCAACGGGCCGGCTGGCTCGTTGACCGCCATCATGACACCTGCATGCAACAGCCGGTAGGCATGTGGCGTAGCGCCGGCCCTCGTGGCGGCGTCCGTTGCTTCAGATGTGCAGCACACCCTCACAAGTTCCCTCTCCTGTCTGCCCAAAATGTTTTCTTACGTGAATAAAAAATGTTGTTGCTAGTGAAATGCATTCGTATATTGAGTCTGATAAGTGTCACACCGTGATTATAAGCTGTCGTATGCCGGCCGGCGACGCCTGTTGAAGCGTCTATGGTGCATGCAAGCAAGCTGCAGCGGAAAATCAGCCGGGACCCAGGCGGCTAAACTTTTTCGCGTTGTCTGTTGAATGCATGAAGTCGAAGGCAGGTCCCGGCCTGAACGGCAGAAGTCCCCCCCTTTACCACGCTTTCCTATGGATTTGGACAGCTTGGCGCGGGGCTGTCGGGGTAGACGTGAGGCCTAGAGAGCATATATTGCTATGCCAGCCGAAACTTGCTTCCAACAGTGCACTGAATTGAAGTCCTCTAGACACCAGCGTATGCAAAGGACAACAGAGAAATTTGACTTATACGGGGTCTACCCTGCTGATGGACAAGAGGTAGGGCTGTCCGTAGGTTTAGTTAGACGCCGAAGATGGTATATCGAGGAACTTCATTTCCCAGAGACACGCCCTCCACTTGTATCCACGAAAAGTCCACCTTCCGCCTCATACGAAGAGTACGCTACCAGGCAAAAGTCGCAAGGCCCTCTACAGGTTCCCTTAAACGTCAGCGGTAGTACTCGAGTGCATATACGGGGGCTGTCCTACTACAGCGACGACACAGGGCCGTCCACGGGTTATTTAGGCGTCAGCTGTGGTATTTTAGAAAGATGTCTTGCGCGAAACTCCTCGTCACCCGTATTTGCGAGCACCTCGCCCTCTGCTTTATTTGGAGAGTGCCGTACTAGCGCGGAAGACGCATGGCCGTCTGTCGCTTCGCTTAGGCGTCAGCGGCGGTATTATGACAGTCCTGGACGCGCTACGGCCAGCATTTGAACGCCTTGAACGACGGCCACTACCTTAATCTCAAAATGGTCTTTCCTATGTGCGTGTCTCCAGCTGCAGCGTGTACTACATGTGTGGACGCTCGTAGCAGACCGGCCGTGCGCAGATTTTGGGGCAATGCGTCAGTGTGTAGTCGGTGCGAGACAGCAAGAGAGCACGGGCTGCCAGACAAGAAAAGAGAAGCAGCTCGACGCGGTTTCAGACAGTGTAACGCTGCCACAACGTCGGCTCTTGCGCTTGATTACGTTCCACCATGTATGTGCGTAAACAAAGTTTGCTGTGACAGACGAGGACCGGGACGCTCCAACAGTCTTCTCTGCGGAGATGGTAGACACGCCTGTATGCGTATGTGCACCTATGCTCATCGTGAATGCGTAGACGACTCCTCCGCGTTCTTAACTCATTGATTGGCTCCCCCCTAGCTGGCTCATGAATTTCGCGCCTCCTGCCAGCATGCATACTATACTCATAGCGCCCCTCAAAGATGCGCGGTGCTTAGGGCTGTAGCCATTCTAGGTGATGTGTGTACGTGCTTCAAGCTACTGGCATTCATAGCACCGCCTGCCGTTCTTGGGGCATTCCTCGTATGAGTGTGCCTTCCTCCGCTTCTGTCGCCTTCACCAGAACTGCAGCTACGTCAGCATCAGAGCTCCTCCAGCAGCTTGAAGGTCGGCAGTGGAGCCGCTCATTCTCCCGTTTTCCGTGATGGTGGTTCTATCACCTTTTTGTAGCACTGTATAGGTTTTGCAGTGTCGCTAACCCAGATGTCATGGAGTTAGGCAGCGCTGGTAGCTGTGCTCGCTCGGGTCGCGCCTCGGGGCTGCCTGCTGCTACCAGCAGTGCGGGGCGGTGCCCATTCAAGTAAACTTGATTCTCTGCGAAGGTACGTGACGGACAATGCTGCGCGCCTTCTTGTAGAGGGAAGCCGAGGCGGGGGCGTGGATCGGCTAAATCACGAGGGGGCCCAAGGTCGCAGGAGGAGAAAACTGGCGGGATACCAAGACGGCCCAGGGGGGGAGACGCGTCTGCGCAGCGTTACTGGATTGCATCTCCGTCATGATGCACTGGGAGACGCAGAATCGCCGCCTCCTCGTGTGCGGCGAGGGCAACGAAGAGCGAACGGCGTACCGACCGGCCACAGCAGCAACAGCACCGGGCAAAATGCTGCGTCGTTTGATGCGCTCCAGTATGGGCGTGCGCAGCACCCGCGTGCTGGGTGGAAAGCGAGGGGGACCTACAATCTTGCAGCAGGTGACGAAGAAAACCAAATCTCGAACTGCTATCGTGATTCAGCGGACAGCGAGGTTTCTGGGGAGGAAGAGGATTTTTGCAGCGGTGGACGCAGCGACGACGAGGCAGTCGTCGTTGTAGATGAGAGGGGCCAGAACGTGTGTCTTAACGACGGGCAGCAGCGGCAGGTAAAGGCTCTCCTCAAGGCCGAAGAAGAGCCGCAGAAATTAGCGCAACGTGCAGGAGAAGAGCTAGCGGGAACAGAGGCGCTGACGAGAACAAGTGGCCTTACCGGGCTGGGCCGCTCGTCGTTTACGGCTGGGCGGAAGCTCTGGAGTCCGGATTCCGCGCTGCCCAGGCCGCGAGCTGGGCACGCTGATACAGAAACGGCAGACGTGGCGGATGCTCGGGGAATATCGCAAGGGAGCCACGTGGGCCGGCAGTCACGTCAGAGGGAGATGCAGTGTCACAAACAGCGGGAATACACAGAAGTAGAGGAGCCAAACGCACAGGTAACCGAAAGCGGGCGCCGCCCCCAAAATAATAAGGACTGTTTCAATGACGGTGGGAACTTGTCTTTGCCTGGCGGTGATCATGAGTCGCAAGGAAGTTCGGGCCCAGTCGAACGTTGCCGTCGCAGCCATGTTGGAAGCCAGCACGCTACCGGTGCATTTGATGATGATCAGAAGCGGCTTGCTGAGGTGGGGGGCCCGTCTCTGCCTCGCCGTAATCATGAGTCGCGAGGAGCTCCGGACACGGCGGAAAGAGGCGGTGGCCACCTTGGAGGAGGCCACCGCTCCACCAGTTCAGCCGAGGACTATCTAAGGTGGCTTGCTAAAGACGGGGATTTATCGCCGCCCCGCCGTATTCCGGGGACGGCAGGAAATTCGGCCGTAGTCAGACTTCAAGGTCGCAGCAATAACGGAGGCCGCCGCTCTATCAGCCCGACGGCAGGTTATCGGAAAAGTGTCGCTAATGATGGGGACTTGTCCTCGTTTTCTGCTACGTATGCCTCGGTAAGAGGTTCTGATATAGTCGAAACCCACGGTCGCAGCGATATAGTGAGCCACCACTCTGCGAGTTCCACCGCAGACGTTCAGAAGTGGGTCCGTAAGGATGGAGACCTGTCCCCACCTCGACGGAAGCATGAGTCTCGGGAGGGTCCCGCTGTGGACAGAAGCCCTGATCGCAGCCGTCTAGTAGGCCGCGGATCTGCCAGTTCAGCCGCAGATTACCAGAAGTGGGTCACTGACGACGGGGATTTGTCCCCGCCTCGTCGCAAGGAGTCGCGACGAGGCTCGAAAGTGACCGAGCGTCGCGGTCTAAGCTACCCAGTAGGCCACAGCTCTACAAGCACGACCGCAGAGAAACCCTCAGTCGCCGCACCTAGTGACGATTACGGTGCGGGCTCTGCAGCATCTTCATCGATGCATTCGAATAAGGATGTATCGGGTCCCGAGCGCACGCGCAGAGCGCTGACCGTTTCGTCCCACAGAACAAGCGAGCTTTGTTACCTACGACAATCCGCGGAAGCGGATAAAACTGCCACAGGATTGGCAACCTCTGGAGCAGAACTGCCACTTACGTGTGGACCCTCGTCTAAAGATTCAGCAGAGGTTGCAACTAGTCGTGCGACTGGCGTTGGCGGCTCGTGCACAACAGCAGGGAACATGTCGCCGCTCGCATTGGAGACCGTAGTGGGACGGGAGGGAACAAAGACTTACGAGAGGGACGACGCGCCGAGCCGGCATTTTGCAGAAAGAGCAGCGAGCGTGGAAAGGTACAAGGAAAAAGGCAGCGTGATACTGCCGGCCTGCTAAGAAGCAAAGCTTTGCATTCAGCGCGTTTACGGACACGGCCAATTCTGAGGCAGCGCACGCTCATTGTTTTCGATTGGCGCGCTCTGCGTACAGCTAGACGCCTATATATTAGTAGTTTTACGGCTCGACAGGGACTAGAATGACTGCGCACTCTAGATAAAGCCAGTCTGTGTATACGCGGCTGTCGTACACTCAGGTGTCGACAGGCAGTAAAGGGATGCTCTACGTCCATGTGATCCGCCCAAACTGCTACGTGTGTTATTCGCGCTGCATTACAGGGGTTCCAGCGAAAGGCGTAGTGCCAGACCGACTGAACGTAAGTCAACAGAGGAGCGGAGGGAATCCCGTGAAGAATGTCCACCTTCTATGAACGTCGTGTACCGCGACAGGCTCGGCCGCATTATCACGGAGGAGCAGTGGCTTGAACTGAAGGTAAGCCGACTGCGATGCTCAGAGAGACAAACACACATTCAGCGACGATATTCCCGCTGTGTTGCAGAGTAACGGCGCATAGGGGAAGGCAAGGGTAAGTTTTATCGGCTAGGGGCACGGTGGTGGTACTCCAGAGGAGTGCCTGACTGTACTTCCCTATTGTGCTGACTCCTCTAAGGCGTCTCTGTTGTCCTACACTTCCCGAGGTCTAGCGCGTGCACGGTCGCCACTTAAATCCGCGTTGATATCAGATATTACTGTGTGATGTTGAACCGTGGTGCCTCACACCCTACGACATTTGCATGGCCGCATGGTGAGGATCCAGGATCCGCGCGGGTTGAACCGCTTGTCTTGTTGCGCGGAGGGACGTTCGCTATGTCAAGAAACCCTCTTGTGAACGGCCACGGTCCTCCTGTGGGGGGCGGTCGCAGACGTACCGACACGCTTCATACCACCATCCAGCAGCTGGTGTACGTCTAGGCTGACCCGCCGGCACGGGTCTGTGCTACTCCAGGGGCGCGTCTGCCGGTCTTCTGCCAGTTGTCTTGAGATCCCATAGAGGACGTGCATGCGGCGGGTACGAATCAAAAGCGGCTACACCTACTTTAAGTGCGCGCTGCCTTCTTTGTATAGGACCCGGCAAGGCGAGGACGTGAGAGATCTCGTAAAGAGCGGGCACCCCCCGTGAAGCTTGCTTGGGGCGGAGGGCTTGTGCAGGAGGCGGAGAAGGCGCACACAGCGGCGGAGGAGATTTTGCTGGGGCAAAAGCCTTTAGCAAGGTACGACGTTCGCCAAAACCAATCCTTTGTCTTTGTGGTATAGTGCTCGCTGCGCTGGTTTAGCGTCTCGCGTCACTCGTTGCGCACGTGGGTCTATCGGGGAAAGCAGTTTGTGCTTTCCCCTAGATTGCAAGGCACTTCCGAAGGTGTGAACATGGACGCACTTCTCAAGTCAGCGAGGTGGCACGTCTGCTTCTCGCCAGCATCTACCCGGCACGCATTCGATGCTGTACCGAATCACGCGCATGCCTCATTGAGCTTGGGACGGTAGTAGCGAGATGCCTTGAAGCTGGGTGTTCTATCATCGTAACTCGAGGACATTCCCGCTCAACGCAAGTGCGAGCGCCCAGGGGCTCCACTGATGAAGCCGTCCGCCTGTGCGAAGGCCACTACTTCGCGCAATGAGGAGGTACTGAAGCGTGTCTGCAGGTGCTGTGGTTCTCGTGCGGGTCTGGGGACGTTACATGACAACTATGAGTCCTGTACGGTGGGTAGTTTAAAGTCACGGGAAGGCGGCCCCGGCTGTGTATATGTATGCCTGCCCTCAGATATGAGCTTGACGAGGATTTTGATTTGGAGCTACAACGGAAGCAGAGATGGGACGATCCCGCAGCAAAACGGCTCTGCCACCAGCCGCAGGAAGACGCCCGGGCTACTTCCACACCAGCGACTGCTGCCACTTCGAACGTCGTCGCGGAAGGAGCCTCGAGTAAACCTGCGGGTAGGCACGCTTTGAAGCCCGCGGCTCTCTTTTATGCGTGCGTCGCGCCACCGCGATCGTGGACACATCCTGAGAAGAGGCGTAGTCTTGTGCAGAATGTGAGACGCCGGGCTTCTGAGCCCTACTCATAGTTCCTCTACTGCATACCATAACACACGGCAGCGCTCCGGGGTAGAGCCTTACAGCGCCGCACGGAGGAATCACTTGGTGCGACATGTTCGATGTGACGGCCGCTGCGAACGCAGGTAAACCTAAGTGTCCGTTTGACGGGCCAAAAAATCGTTTTGGAATAAAGCCGGGGTATCGTTGGGATGGAGTAGTGCGCGGCAATGGCTATGAGGAGAGACGGCTTGAGGTAGGATCGTTACGCCGCTTCAGCGGTCAGATTTTCTTGTCTGGACTGTGCAGGCGCTCCACCCTGTCTGATCTGGCCAAGGCTCCCACGATACTAGTGCGTAAGCAGTAAGCACGTGAAAATGCTGTCACTGTCTCCTGTGCGATTCATCGCGGCAAGTGTCTGCATAGTTCGCGGAGTCCGGTGAAGCAGACTGCGAAACGATCATGAACACGAAGACACCCGCTGCCAGTCGCCGATGCGTGCTGCGGTGCGGTACGGAAGTACTCGCTGCTTCTCTGATGATTCACCTGCCCGTCGCACTAGTCTGGGCACAGGCCTGTGAGCATGACTATGCGGCATGCTTGTCTTCCTCGGAGCGCTGGATTCAGTATTCGGAATGTATTTTCTTCTGCGGCGTAACACTCAGGCTATTAACAGGAAGAAGCTCGAAGACAGATTGAAGCACATCAACAACGTTGCGGATATGTAAGGATTCTTCTCTGCAGAAGCGGTGTGTCGCCGCTGTTGTGAAAGGCATACTCCCGGGATCACGCTACTGATTCGTCAGTTGACTTGTGTATTTGTCAGTGGCTGCGGTGTCAGAGCGCACGTTTGTGACACCGGGGATGATTACTGCTACAAGGCAAGCAGAGATCCCGCCTAACTTAAAGCAAATTTCCCAAGGCGCTTGGTTGGCGCCTGTCTGCACAGTCGAAGGTGATCAGCCGAAATTCAGATTTCTCAGGGGCTGCTGCGCCGTCGTAGCGTTGGATAGTATCTGCTGCGCAAGTGCCTTAACGTAGGCACAGTGCTTGAGGGAAAAGGGCGAACGTCATGTGCATTATCAATCCTGATCGTGATGTTTTCATGCTGTAGCTAAGTGTGCGTAATGCTACTTGAATTGCGTGTTGACAACACGTGGCGAGGTTTGCTTTACCACAAACTCGTGGATCACCAGCGCCACGATAGTTTCTTTTTAACTGTTGGCGCCTCCTCCCGGTACACCGTCACGGGCTCTCAAACGACGATCTGGACTCACGTGGCATTTACTTCTAGCGTGCGGCACATCGCACGGTGGCGGAATCACCCGGACGGTATTCGCAATCTCGTGTGGAGGACGTGGACGGACATGTGTTCCTGTATACCTGTAGCAGTGCACATGCAGCGAGGGGGGCGGGCGCTTTTCCTGCGGTCCGCGTGACCGATGGATCCGACGGAAGCAAAACCGAACGGACTACGCGCCGCGCGCAGCAGTGCCCGGGGAAGGCGACGATGCTGACTTAGACGCAAGCGGTCGTGCGCTGGACGCATTTTGAAAATCCGAAGTGCCTGGTGCTTTTTCTCGAGAAAAGAAACTCAAACACCTCTTCAGTGTGCGTCTGAGTACGGGAGCGCAGCATCCCAAACATCTTCGGTATACTCGAGAGCACGACACGAAAAAGTAGCGTGTACAGCTGTGGACTACACAAAGCCTGTCCACGCTTAGACGCACGGGAGGAGAGCAAGTCCCTGCTCGCTCGGAAGCGACATTTGAATACGTCGCCCTAGTCCGCGAAAATAGATCGAAAAAAGTGTATGAGGCAAAATCTTCCGCCAGGTGCAGACTACCCGATCCGGCGGTAGCTAAGCACGCCGAGACTTTCGCGACTCGGAGAGTAGCCCGAAACGCTGAACACCTCTCATGGTTTACTTCAGTACGCTAGCGTCAACGTAACTGCAGGAAAACAGGCTTGCGTCCCCGATCTGGTAGGTGCACATGCGGGGGTGTTCTGGGAAGAGATGCACGGTAGCCGACCTTCGCACCACCAGCGGCACCCCAGACTCTGCGTTCCCTTACACAGGCGAATAGCTCACCGAACAGTCGGGAAGTAGCATTTTAAATCCGTACCGGGTAGTAGAAACTGATCCGCGCAACACCGGAGCACCGAATGGTCTTTTCTGATTGCCCCGCGTACTTTTCAGCGTGCGGACTGAGCGTGCTCGAGCGTGCCAGTGTCACACGAGAGCAATGCGGATAGCTAAAGGGCGTCCCTTGGCGCAACCTTGTGGCTACAGTGCCTCTAAAACTGTTTTCTCCTCGTTGCTTCTTCTTATGATGAACGTGTAAGGATTCCAGACATTTGGTATCGAATACTGCGCTTTGCACTCGACGCCTTCTCAGTACTTAATGCGCCTTCTGCTTCACTCTTTGTTGCTTGAAAGATAAGGCTGTATGTGCCTTCGGTAGGGCGCACCTCATATCCGATGACTTGCGTCCGCTGACGTCTTTGACATTGTTCTAATTTGTGTTATCGTCTAGAAGCCGCTGTTTTGGAGCTGCTATTTACGATTCACAAAAACGCTCCCCGTGTGCAAATCACTCACAATTTCAGGTAGCGTGTGCGCCGTGGCCGCCTGGCTTCCTCTGGTGCGTTGTCTGCGAGCACCTCGGGCGGCAGCCGAGGTGGGTGGTCGTGTGATTCTAGCGGGAATAGCAAGCAGCTGCACAGTCGCCTCCGGCGTAAGCAGCGGCTTCAACACGAAGGCAACAGGTTGACACTGTTAGTAGCGTCTACGCGCCGGACACAGCTGCATCCCTCCACTGTTAGAGCTTATACGTCACCTGTACGAGTTATCATACGGGTCCCCCCCTCTCTGTGTCCCGGGGGGTGTGGGCCGAAGGACATAGTCCGCCTACACAGTAGTGCAGAGCAGCGGCGCATCTGCTTTTCCCTGGAGGTGTTCCTACGTATCCACTCCTGCTGTCCTGTCATGGTTTAAGGAGTAGGCGGACCCCCAGACATCGGGATACAATAGGTACCCTCTCTTCGTCACTCTGCATGGCTGTGCGCACACCCTGGCTTTGGAGAACAGGTCTGTAGACACGCTTTATCCTCCACCGGGAGTTGAACGTGGACCGGTCGCTCCCGATAGAGGCTGCTCTTAGTGGTACTCAGAGAAACGCCGCGTACCTGTACTGTAGTCGGGGCGCTTCTTGAAGATATCGTTTACGCGCCGTGAAATAGGCGCATATGATACATTTGGATCAGGTTCCTCAAGGACTTTGTGGCAGTTGCACTGAGCCTTGCATATCGTGCGACAACCCGCGATTGAACACGCGGCCGAAGGCGGACATCGGCCACCCCCTTCCAGCGAACTACGAATTTTACCTGTTTCTCCAACTTCGTTAGTGTTAGCGTCCGAGAATCTGGCCATGCTCCGGAGTAGATGGGCGAGGAAGCGGCCGACGACGGTGACACGTGCTCGGTGTACCTGCCAAATCTACATCGCTTCGAACAGCAGTGTAAAATGGCGGACCACGAAAGTGCCCGTTTCTGCAGCTAAGAAGTCCCCGGTACTAGCTTCCGTTGGACGCACTTGAAGATTCCAAGTCGCGTTCCAGCACTAACGATCTACAATTTTCACACAGGGCACCCGAGCATGGACGCGCGTCGGACTCGATGCCACCAAACACCATCGTTCCTCTGTTGCCTAGCGTATCTATTATCGGTGACAGTTGGAGCTGCTGAGGGTAGGCCACGTGCACGTAGTGTGCCTTTCTACCTGTTTGACTGCTGTCCTCCGTCTTGTGCGGGTAAACGAACTCAGTTACCTCCTTTTTGCACAAATGATCTCGCGTGGCCACAGGGTGCCCCGACGATACCCCCTAACAAGAACATGATAGACAGGTCGCTCAATAATGTAGAATGTAGGCGCCTGTGAAACCTGTACGTTGACACAGTGAGTCCATATGTAACTCGCCCTGGTACGTCTGTCTAGGAGCTCCACCCTGTTCATCTTTCGCTATCCACGTCACCTGACGTACATGCTACAGCTATTGCACGCGGTGGCTTCCAGCGTTTTCTGGTAGCATCACCCGCTCCTGAAGTGCCTCTACTACACACGAAAGTGCGCTACGTAGAGACGCTACACAAGGGCGGCCACCGTGTCACGGAGAATGTGCACGGCATAAGCATGTGTTCGGCTGAAAGAAGCTGTTTTGCGTTGTAACACAGGAGGGTGTCCTTTTGATGGGCCGCAATCACCTATGCAACATGCGTCCTCATCTGGGATACCTTTTGATGTCGTGCTGTCGGATCGTCGCACTGTGCTCAGCAGCACACCGCAAATATCTCCGCCGGGCCAGTATGCCTCTTTTTGTGTTTTCAGGACAGCTCGTCCCCAACGCTGCTGTGCCGCGCCACCTAGGTGCACGACATAAACCGAGTGGTACAGAATGGCGCGCATTGTCCGAGAGGAGTTACTTTTCCTCGCTCACGCCTCCCATGGCTGGCAATACAATACTTGGCATCCGCCCTCTCGTTGGGAAGACAGTTGCCGCAGCTACAGGAGCAGTGCGGGGAGCCGCGCACAGAGTAGGGCGCGCTATCGGCGCCGCCGCAGCCGCTTCGGGCATAACGCACCGTAAGCCTCCGCTCAATCGTGTATGCTACGCCATACACGTTTAACAACCGTGTCCGTGGTCGTCGACTACTACAATGAAGAATCTGATGAAGGTGTCTAGGCTTGCGTTTGCGCGCGCTCGCCGCTGGTAACAAGAGCGCGAGCGTAGTCGCGTGGGTATTTAAGTAAAAGATCCGTGCGCTTGGCCCGCACACACGTACGCATCAAACGTAGGCTCCACCGATGAGAACGAGTAGAGCAACACGGCCTTCCGTGAGCATCACGGCTGGCCAGAACTCTGCGTATGCAGGCCGACTTTCTGGTGCGCAACATGAGAGCCCATCCTCGTGCACACCTATATAAATGTTGCGCAATAGAAAATGCACCAACGCAGGACTCACAAAAAGATACGCTGCCTTCCTAAGGACTCAGCACTACGTATACGCGTGGCAACGGACGACGAACGCACTTGTAGACATCCAGCATTTATATAAGCTTGTCCGGAGGCAGAAAAACATACAGGGGTTGTGCGCAAGAAAGGTAGAGCTACCCGAGCATCTGGAGTCGCGGCTACGGCGCTCCAGATTATCGCGCCGCGCGGCTATTCACGTAAACGCCCTCGGGTAGAGCTCACGGGAGCGAGGTGGCATCAGAGCAGCACCAGCAGATACAGGAACAACAGCGTATCGTCATGTGCTCAAACGTGTTACACACTTCACATGCAGAGGGGCCTCTCACGATAAACGTGCAAATTTCCACTTTACGCCTGCATCCTCCAGCGACGAGGCGCACCACTCCACCTGCGTACTTGCGTGCTCCACCTCTGCTTCCTTCCAGCCTCTACGAGATATTCCTCCCAGCGTCGGTTCCAGCAGACGCCCGCGGACAACCCGTTGCCTACGGACACGTGGAGCCCTGGAACCACTCGTACCGCCTTTGACAGCTCTGTCACAGCACAGGCTGCCCAGGTGCCGGCTGCCGGAGCATTCGA